TAGACTAATCCAAAGCAAATCTCATACTTGATTAAATGTAAAAAAATGTCAAAGAAAAGTAATGGGAACATTCAGAAAAAAAGTAACTTTTTGCTTAGAGAGATTAAGAAAGACATCAAGGAAATTGTGAACCTGGGACAATACCTTTTAGAGGAAGAAAAATTTGGACACATGAAGACTGTTAAGTTGAAGGAACTGAAGAACTGAAAACATAAAAGTAGGATCAAGAAATGCAGAACAGAAGTGTGTGTGAAAAGAGTGTATAAAATATGAGAAGTGTCTGGTCGATACTTAGATTGAAAGGACATGAAGAACTTGCTCATGGGTGTTTTGAATGACAAGTTAAGTAATTTGGTTCTCAAAACTAAGAAGCTATTAGATCAAAGACACAGGCTTATAAAATCAACTTTTGGAAATTGATTAAAGAAATGAAAAGACCATTCAATTTTCCCTAGTAGCTCAAGAAATACTGCTCAGAAATCAGTAGTGAAATGAGATGGTGTTGTTTTTCGGTGCCACCCAGTAGGTTCGGAACCATAGTGACCCTCTGTACAACAGAATGAAGCACTGCCCAGTCCTGCGCCATGCTCACAATTGGCCTGAGTCCAACGTTACACTCATTGTGTCAATCCGTCCTATTGAGGGCCTTCCTCTTTTTCTCTGCCCCTCTACTTAGATAAATGGGAAATGCCCGTGATGATATTATAGTGGAAGAGCTTCCAGGACTTGTTAAACACTTGAGTTAGAGAAGGAAGATATCAGAGGTAACGGACACGATTTTAACTTGGGAAATGAACAAATGCAGTGATCATTGGCAGGTGAGGGAAACAACAAAGAGTAGGCGGGGGCAAACAAGTACAGTTTGGGAAACGAGAATGAAGAGCTCCTGAACACAGCTGGAAATGCGAGGCTGGAGCTGCTGTGCTAAGCATCAGTGCCGAATGACACATTTTCTCAATAATTAACTGAATCTTCTCAGCTGTTTGCTAACTGATTTGATGGCTCCACCCAGTAAGAGGATGAAAGGTGAAAAATAAAAGTTAAAGAGAACTATCTGATGACAAAAAAAACACACACATAAAAGCAATCACTCCAGCTAAGGCTTAACCCTTCTTAAGAATTTCTTGGATACAATGTCCTTTAATAAAACAATCACCTTACTGGGGCTCACTTAGCTTTCAGATGACATCTTACAAAAGAGTGTCTTCCAAGAAGAGTTGAGAGCAATTGACTGGATAAGTGCTGAATTCATGAGGATAATTTCTCATCTTTATACACAACTTGCTATACATCAATAAAATTTCAAGATTAAAATGAATTTCCCTGATTCATACCAAAAAATAAGTGAAACAGGTTTTCCCATTAATATAAGCTAAATACACCCATGACTAGAAAGAAAATCATTAAGACACATATTTATTATATTCTGTGTTACAATGAAACATACGTGATGTTTCTTTAGCAATATTGATTACTTGGTATAAACTGAAATATCTCTTGGACATATATCACTGAAGTAAATAAGCCTTTTCAATCATTGAGTGTGAAAATGGTCATATATTTGAAACAAATACACGTAAATTGAATTACTGTGCTGATAAAATGACCTTTGGCAAAAACATTCTAGTAGCCAAATCATTGTTTTTTTGTTCCCAATTTTTAAAATTATTTTATTGGGGGCTCATATAACTCATCACAATCCATACATACATCAATTGTATAAAGCACATTTGCACATTTGTTACTCTCATCATTCTCAAAACATTTGCTCTCCAGGTAAACCCCTGGCATCAGCTCCTCATTTTCCCCCCTCCCTCCCCACTCCCTCATGAACCCTTG